AGGGAGGGAGGGAGGGAGGGAGAAGGAGGGGGAAAGGGAGGGAGGGAGAGAGGGAGGGAGAGAGGGAGGGAGGGAGAGTGAGGGAGGGAGAAATAGAGAGAGGGAGGGGGAGAGAGACAGAGACAGAGAGACAGAGAGACAGAGAGACAGAGGGAGGGAGAAAAAGGGAGAGGGAGAGGGGAAGGGAGAGAGACAGAGACAGAGACAGAGACAGAGAGGAAGAGACAAACTCCCTACAGGTCCGGCGTAGGTGCTCGTTTTCCTCCACGATTTCACGAAAACTGGCTTTGAAGGGGAGAGCGGGATCATCTCTTTCGTTTTCATCCTTGTTTCCCCACCATGCCGCCACAGTACGACAACTGGCGACGCTGTCCGCACGTAAGACAGCTTCCTGGCGGATGATGGTATCCGACAGATCGTCGGAAAGTAACCTCGGGGTTAACGTCGGCGACGGCATGGCCACCACCGAGGCGGAGCGCTGCTCAGCCGACCCATTCAATGTCTCCTTCACGAAGCTGCCCAAACGAGACATGCTTCAACTCATCCAGTCCGAGACAAGACTACCCGCTGGAATGCTCTTCCCGTCCATGTTTCCTTGAACAACTTCTTTCAACGCATCTCCGAGAGGAAAACCAGGCCTTCGCGTACCAAAATGTTAGGAAAACCTCCCACGAGTATGTCTCGAGCCCGTGTTGACACACGAAGTAATCCCGTCAAGAAACCAAAGAGCAAGTGTGCGAAACAATGCACAGTGCAACGATGAAGTTTATTCGATTTTGACGTTAGAATAAAAAGGAAAGAAAGTAATCTAAATTCTTAAGAAACGACACTGCCTAGGACATCTACTTAAAAGAAAAACAAAAGTCTGTAAACATATCCTATCAACAGGCAGACATAGTACGGGAGACTGACGGGAGAGAGCCAGCGGAGTCGGACAGTGAGGAGCTGGGCGAGCCCACGGGAGACTGACGGGAGATTGATCGGACAAGAAGAGCTTCCTGTTCCCTTCACTCTCTGTCGCCACCGCTAGCAAGACGGGAGACTGTCACTGTCAGGAGACTCACGGGAGACTGACGGGAGAGCGACAGTCAGCGGAGTCGGACAGTGAGGAGCTTGCAGGAGAGTCGGACAGTGAGCCTGAGCTGGAGAGCGGAGCATGCTGGAGCAGTGATCTTGCAACAACTTTCCAAAAAAAGCATACGGTTCGTGCCAGGGTGTGTGCCTTCCCCGGGCCCCCTTCCCGAGCCTGCCCTAAACCCTAAACCCTTTATCATTATTATTATGATGATGATCATTATTATTATGATGATGATGAGTTAAAAATCAGTACGAGGACAATCAGGAGAGTCGAGGAGGCTTGACCCTGACACTGTCGCACAGGCCAAACGGCGAGAAGTTCAGTCAGGAGAGTTGCTTCTCGAGGCTCCTTCGCCGGTCACCCCGAGTCGCCGGCACCCGGGCCTGCAGCTCACGATGATGAGTAAAAGATAGTACCAGGCAAACGAAAGGTTATTTGCGGCACTCATGGCTGCGAGAGGAGGAGGAGGAGGAGGAGGAGGAGGAGGAGGAGGATGTCTGATAGAGAGAGCAGAGGAGGAGGAGGAGGAAAGTGGAGGTGATCAGAAGAGGATTAGGGAGCATAGAGTGGGTTTAGAGGAAACGAATGCAAGGAGGGAGAAGAAAATGAGCGTCGCTTCCATGAAGGAAAGAAGTATAGCGAGAAGAATTGACAGACAATGACCGGAATGTTTCAGTTGATCCTCCATGTTTGCGGCACTTTCGCTGCTGTCAAAGCTCAACGAGTTCCAGTACGCCATCAGGTGCATCTTGCGTGAAACAACATCTCAACTGAGAACATTCTGGTTGCAGCCCTCGTGTGCCATGTCCTTCAGATGATGTTTGGGCGGGCTATGGCGACGAGGCGATCCGGGGAGTAGGCGCTCCTGGTAAGTCCCGTCTCAATCTGACCCTTCCCTGATCTTGCTTGTTTTGCTTGCATGAGCATGTTTTCATTGCTGTTGAAAGTTTGTTCTTCGTGCTTGGCTCTAGGCTTCCCATGCCTGACACGGCAGCAGGTATTCTCAACCCGCAGGATGTTTCGGAAGGCAACCTCTTTCCCGGCCCAGCAGCGTGAGATCTCTGCCACGTCTTGTCGTCTTGCTCACTGTCAGCAGGCTCATCCGCGGTGTTGGAAGCCCTGGGGTCCTCACAGCCAATTGCGCTTGAGCTGGATCGAGGGAAGGAGAGATGGTCGTGGTGATGGAAGGAGCGAGATGTTCGCCGTCACTACGAGCCTCTCAAGCCTCAAGTCCTGTACTCTCTTGTTTGTTGTCCCATCGTGCTGGGATTCGTGCACATGTATCAGAAAATTTTCAATCTTTTCCTAATTATCTCAGTGAAATTTGAATGTTTATCGTACAAGGTGAAAGTTCCTTCACAGCATCAAAATGCTGCTTACAGTGCCGATTGGCGAGCCATCTGATCTCATGGCTCGATAGTAGTCGCGCTGCTCACACCTGCCAGGTTGTCAGAAATCGGTAGGCATAGAAGAGGAGGAGGGGTAGGCATAGGAGAGGAGGGGTAGGCATAGGAGAGGAGGAGGGATAGGCATAGGAGAGGAGGAGGGATAGGCATAGGAGAGGAGGGGTAGGCATAGAAGAGGAGGAGGGGTAGGCATAGAAGAGGAGGAGGGGTATCGGCCACTCCCCCGGCCCCCCATCGTCCACCTCCTCCCTCAAGTATTTTCTTCCTCGTTTCTGTCCTTATCAGACCTCCGACCTCCCTCCCTCCTCTCCTTCAGCTCCTTCCTCTATCTGTCTTGACCCACCATTCCACCACGTTCTGCACGAGGTTCCCCTGCTGATCTGTCGCCTGCGTCGGATCCGTCCAAACCTCCGACCCTCGAGGGAGGTAACCGACCGCCTGGTGAGCGCGTGAGGGAGAGAGGAGGAAGGTGACTGACGTACGTTGATCTTCCCGCCAAGATACAGGCAGCCTTGCACGCGAGCCATGCTGTACACCGTGCCGCTCACGCCGCTGCCTAGGGGGGACCAGATCCCACTTTCCCTCTACATCAGCACGAGACGAGACGCGGCTGGAGGTCACCTGGCGTATCTTGCGACGCCGTTGACGCTCCTTCCTGCTGCTGTCTTGAAGGCTCCGCCGACAAAGAGAGAACGTCCCATGCTGGCAAGAGCGTACACCTCGCCGTCAAGCTGACCCAGACTCCTCCACTTCTACCGCCAAGGTCACCGCAAACTCGCGAAAGCTATTCTCACCTCCCCATCCCAGGACGCCAGAAACTTCGTATCCCTCTGACCTCCTGCGTTGCCAAAGTTTCCGCCGACGACGAGCTGCGGAAGCGTTGGCAGTGAGAGAGGCAAAGAGAGCATAACCTCGAAGCTGCAGTTCATGCAGTCAAAGTTGCCAGACGTCATCGTTAGCACTTCTCCTCCTTCAACTCCGCAGAATCCGCCGGAACAGAGCGGCTGCCATTGCATCGAGCGCATGTCCAGAAGAAGGAGACCTCCTGCGATACCTCCATGTCACATCTACCATCCCTACCAACATTCTCTCCTCCTCCTCCTCTCCCTTGCTCTTCCTCCTCCTCCTCCTCCTCCTCCTCCTCCTTGCTCCCTCCCTTCCTCCTCTCCCTCGCTCCTTAACCTGTAGCGTCAGGCTGACCGCTAGAGGACAAAAATTGTCCCGCGAGCGTGAGGAATTCATTTCCGTCGCTTTGACCTGCCAGGCTTGTCAAAGTCTCGTCGGCAGCTGCTCGCTCCTCCACCTGTGATGCTCAGAGCGCTCGCCACTCGTCCAGCTGGAGGAGGAGACCCGAAGATCTGCGGGAAGACCGTCAGGCGGACCGGCGTCACTTCCGCCTGCTGACCGGCTGCCATTCTCTCATGCTCTTGTCCCAGATGAGACACCCGAGGCTGCGAACAACGTGCTCTAGGGGGAGAATGAGGCGGGAGGAGGCGAGGGCGAAGGCTCACCAGCACGGGAAGGCTGTCTGATTTCCTGATATGCTGGAGCACAAGACTAAGACAGAGGAGGAGGCAGTGCGAGTGATACCAACGGTGAAGGAGCCGAAGACCAACAGCTGCTTGCGGGCTGGTAAAGCCAGCATTCCCCGTACTGACCCATCAAGTCCATGCCCGAGAGGAAAGAAATTTTCTCCGTTCCACTCAACGATGTACTTGGCCCGAACACTCGAAGCTTGAGGAGAAGTCAACAACCCCTGAGGTCAACGAGCGGGTGGTACCTTCTTGAAACGATCCTCCAAAGAAAACAGAGTCATCGATCTTTGCTACTGCTCTGACTGCTCTGTCGATTCCCAGGTTGACCGTCTATAGAGCAACGGACAGGTCAAATGCTGGCTAACGCGCTCAAATAGAAACCGTCATCTGCATCCTTGAAGATGGTTGAGCGAATCCGACATAGCCGTTACCCGAGTCATCGACCCCAGCTGCAGCCCAAGTCAGGTCATCAGTTGTCATGGAGAGAGTCTCCACCGAAGACGGTCTGCATGCTGTAGACCGTCTGATTTAACATGACGCCTTCTCTGACTACCCCCGCAACAATCTCGACAACTTGAACTTTGACCGGAGAGTCTGTCTGGTTGATCTGCAGCTGCTCGCAAACGAGCTTGACAAGCACGTGTCAAACAGAGCTTGCTCTCAGCTTCTGCCCACCTGAGTATCGGAGAGGACAAGCAGTCGAGGACAAGCCGTTTGCCCGACAAAGACTTTAACAACTGGCGAATCGTTCAAGGTGAACCAACTCCAGCTGGCAAGCGAGCTGTCGTAGACGACAGCTGGACTGAAGTTGACACCATTGATGGTCAAACTGCCATTGGTTGACAAGCCATTGGGCCCCCACAGCCTCGGGCTGACGCTGAAGACTCGCGGCCTGGAAGGACGTAGAGGTCAAGAGGAGAAGAGAGAAGGAGCAGGCACAGAAAGACCTTGCTAGCACACGGAGCATCACGACATGCTCAGTGCTGACGCCACTCCCTCCGTACTCAGTCCCTCCGTTGTCAAAACATCTGCAAGGCTGTCAGCAGTGACGCCTCCTCTCGAACGTCACCAACCTGATGGTCAACGTGACCACACCGGCGTTGTCATCGTTGACCCAGAAGACGAGAGTCCCGTTTTCAAAGATGTGCGGATCCTTCTGCCCGTCAGCTGCCCCTTGTCAAAGTTCAGAGCTGGTCACCTGCTGGAAGAATGCTGGAGTATCGGTGCTGTACTGCACTCTGAAGGTGATACTCTGCCCGATCTCGTCGACTCCTCCCCTCGAAATGTTCCTGATGGCATCAGGTCTGACCTGAAGTCCAGCACTGACACCAGCTGATCAGAACCACCTTCAGCTCTAGAGCCTCTCACTTCTCTATCGCGAAGATGGTCGGAGGAGAGGCAAAAGTCGGGGGGTTGTTGACGCTGAGCTGGAGTAACTGGTGAGGACCAGTACAAAGATGAGGGGATGAAGAGATAGAGCAACGAAGCAGAGAGAAGAACGTGGACGAGAAGTGAGTGCTGGATATTTTGACATGGCGCGAGGAGAGGGAGAGAGGTGGAGGAAGAGGAGGGGAGGAGGAAAAGCCAACGACAGGTGAATGGAAAGGTGGCGGAGCAAGAGGAGGAGGAGAGAAGCTACCACGCGCAAGGTGAGGGTTTGTGCTATGGATCTGTTCGATCCGAGTAGCGTCGAGTTTCCGTTGTCGAGGGCGACAATAGACAAGTTACAGACCCCGTTAACATTGGGCAGCAGCTGCAGCTGTAAACTCGCGTTGGAAGACCACGGGGGCTGATCGAAGACAATCTGACAAGAACATCATCTCAAGCCTCATGGACGTGCGTCAGAAAACAAACCAAAGGAGCAGCGACGAGCATCGACCCGCACGAGTTTGGAGTTGTGTAACCCAAGACAAACGAAACCAACTGAGCAAACGTGAGATACAAGATCGAAGCAGAGCAAGTGAGATACAAGACAGAAGCAGAGCAAGTGAGATACAAGATAGAAGCAGAGCAAGTTAGATACAAGACAGAAGCAGAGCAAGTGAGATACAAGACAGAAGCAGAGCAAGTTAGATAGAAGATCGACGCAGAGCAAGTGAGATACAAGACAGAAGCAGAGCAAGTGAGATACAAGACAGAAGCAGAGCAAGTTAGATAGAAGATCGAAGCAGAGCAAGTGAGATACAAGACAGAAGCAGAGCAAGTGAGATAGAAGACAGAAGCAGAGCAAGTTAGATAGAAGATCGAAGCAGAGCAATTGAGATAGAAGATCGAAGCAGAGCAAGTGAGATACAAGACAGAAGCAGAGCAAGTGAGATAGAAGATAGAAGCAGAGCAAGTGAGATATGGTTTGTTGGCAGTAGCTGTCAGTCTATTACTTGCAGAATGCCTTCGTCTGGCGCTCCCGCCGTGACATCTGGCAGCAAGTCAGAAGATCCCGCCCGTCCGCCTCAGGTGGTTCACTGGTGATGAAGTTGGTGAAGGTGAGCTGGCGATCTTGGTTGCTTTCCTTGACGTCAAGGACGTGAGAGGCCAGGGCGAAGTCAGGCGGGTTGTTGACGGAGAGAAGGTCAAGCACGACTCGCTGCGCTCCAAGTTCAACGTCGATGCGAAGAAGCTCAAGTCAGGTAGATGGAGGAGAATGAAGAGGAGAAAAAGCAGGAGAAGAGGAAGAGGAGGAGAAAAAGGAGGAGAAAAAGGAGGAGGAAGAGGAGGAGGAGAAGAGGAGGAGGAAGAGGAGGAGATTACGTCTGACACGCTGGAGGCGATGGCGCTGATAACGGCATTCAGAACTTATAAAACACTACAGGAGACTCGGCTTACCTCCCGTTGACTGTCACTGAGATCGAGAACGCCAGCTCAAACACCCTCGATGAATGTCAGGAAGCAGATTGACAAGCTGAGAAAACCTCACCCGTGAACCCAGTTGGCAGCTCGGAAGGTGAGGGTGCCGTTGGTTGACAAGGTGGGGAGGTCTTGAAAGATTTGGCTCGGGAGGAGGCCGAAGTCAGGGACCTGAAAGGGGGAGGGAAGGGAGGGGATCGTCAGTAGCTGTCAGGGACTCAAATATTTCACTTGTTTCGCACTCTCCAATGAAAACTTGAAACCCGTCTGAATGAAATTCCCGTCAACCTCCACCTGCCATGTTGTGAGCTGAGAAACCTCCTCCCTTCCTCATCCTCGTTCGCTCTTGCTTGATTTCCCAGCTACTCCCTCAATCTTCTCTCACCTGCACCCCGCAGCTCTTCGAGATGGTTCCATTGCCCTCAAGCACGATGATGGAAGGGCAGGAAATCCGCGCGAAGACTCCAGACGTCAAAGTCTGCAACGGCTTGTCAAACACGAAGAGTCAACTGATGAGCTCGCCACCTTCAAGAAGATCTTCATGTGCTTGACAGCAGTTCTGACTCAAACGTCACCCTCCTCCTCCTCTACTCTCAACCACTCGCCTGTCTTGTCCGTACACGTTGCCATTGAGCCGGAAAACTCCCCCGCCGTCGATGAGCTGCACATCAACGTCTATCGTCTCGTACTTGGAGTTGTTGAGATGTAGCGCCATCATTCCCATCCTGCTTGCTCGGTAAGAAAAGTTGACCCGGTCTGCCATCATCACCCGTTCTGAATCCACAAGTGCGGAGGCGACGAGAAGAAGGATAGGGTAGAGAACGACACATGAAATCGAAGCGTCTGATAGTGAGAGGGAGGGATGGAGGGAGGAAGGAAGAGAGGGAGGGGAGGGAGACTGGGGTTAGATGGATCCGAGCAGAAGCATCATGTTCTTACCTGTGCGAGATTTTCATCTCCAGAGCTCACATTCCAGGCAAACCTAACAAAGACAAGTCAAAGTCGACATCTCAAGCTTTGACCTCACGTTATGTTCTGATCTTTCGGGTCTGAGACAATCACTATCTCTGGTTCAAGGTCGAAGCTGGGCGGGTTGTTGATGAACGAGGTTGTCAACGCAAACACTCGAGAGAATTCTGTCGTCTAGTCATATGAAATCATTTCGACAAGCTGAAGACTCACCCAAGCTTGTCAAGTTGCAGCCCATCGGCCCCTCAAGCGTGCTCCTCAACAGATTCATCACGATCCTGCTCAATCATCAACATCTTCCCTCCCCCCCACTACCCCCCCCCCCCCCCCCCCCTCTCACTATCCTCCCTCTCCCTTGTGCTCGTGCTCGTGCTCGTGCTCGTGCTCGGTCTCGTGCTCGGTCTCGTGCTCGTGCTCGTGCTCATCGTACTAGATTTCCTTCTCCTAGTTTTGTCGCTACCTGTATAATCTCGATCCCATCATCTCCACCGTCGGCGTCACCGTCAAACTCCCCTGATCATCCACCCGCATCGCCACTTCACCTCCTAGCAGAAGTCAGGAGGAGGAGGAGAGAAGGAGGAGGAGGAGGAGAGCAGAGCGCAGCAGAAGATGCAATGAAGAAAGAGGAGAGGAGAACCGGGGGCAAGAGGCGACATGTTGTCATAGGCTCCGAAGACAGTCAAGTTGGGGAAGAAGCACGACGATCCTGTGCAGCATGAGGCGAGCAACAGAAGAAAAGAAGCTCGACCGTAGTCCCTCTCTTGCCAGTCAAACCAATCTTGTGCGAGAGATGGATACGTACACATCAGACGTGACCGGGGAAGACCGCGGAACACAAGGAGTTTGTCTGCAGCGACTTCATGACTGCTGCTGTCACGACAACTCTGTTGTACCTCCCCTTGCTTGCACAAACTTGGCTCCGTCGAGGATTCCATGGCAGAAAGTGCTTAAATTCTTCTGGATGACTCTGTCGCAGCTTGTCAAACTGGAACGAGACAGACAGTGAAAGAAATTCACCTGGAGTAGAGACGACCCGCCTGGTCAAAGATGCCAAGAGCTTGACAACACAACCGTCACACGCCCACACACGTTGACTGGGTTCAAACCTGACACGCTGAAACGAGGATGTCAGATTCGTGAAGAGGAATGAGCAACAATAATGTGATGATAGATGATCAGCAAAAGTTGAAATGAAGGAAGTGAAGAAACCTGAGATCGTCGTCAATCACGTCGAATGTCTTGATAGTTCCTTGTGACATGTCCAGAGCGTGAAAGTGCGATGAGCTTGAGTTAAGCCACATGCTTGTGACGTCTTCAACTCCCTTCGTCCTCCTGCATCGCACATGACATTTCAACACGACATCTCAACACGACATCTCAACATGACATCTCAACATGACATCTCAACATGACATCTCAACATGACATCTCAACATGCTCATCTCAACATGCTCATCTCATCATGACATCTCAACATGCTCATCTCAACATGAAATCCGGTTGCGCTGGCAAACACCTGAAGTTCCACGGGAATGCGATCAACCCTTCAGTGATGCTGTTTGCAAGAAGCAACTTCTGCATCTCGCCTGATCGCATGTCATCGTCACCTCAGCCTTCTCCCCGTCTCACCTCGTCGGTCTGGCAGCGACACGAAATTCCACTTTGACGTCACTCCTGCTGTCGCGTCACTTTGACCGTTTCCCCGTTCTCATCCGTCACCTGTTGGGAAGCGAAGAGCAAAAGTTCTCGTAGGAAGTTGAAACAGCCCGGGGACTCTACTGCGGTTGGGAGGAACAGCTGAGATCTCGTCGATGAAAGTTCCGTTGGCTTGACAAGGAGAATAAGGAGGAGAATATGCGCAAGTTTGATACCCGAAGCCTCTGAGGTGCTCCTGCCGCTCCACTGCAAGACTGCAGAATGCGGTTGCATCACCTGTACCTTCTCAGCTCCTCCACCCTCTATCCTCCTCGTCCTCGTCCTCGTCCTCGTCCTCGTCCTCGTCCTCGTCCTCGTCCTCGTCCTCGTCCTCGTCCTCGTCCTCGTCCTCGTCCTTGTCCTCGTCCTCCTCACTGCTCCTGCTACTGTCTGAATGATCTACCTGTTTGTCAAACACTTGTTGCGAACTCGACGTCAAATCTCTGATTCCCTGAGGATCGAGGAGTCAGAGGAGGAGCAGTAACACGAGTGGGATGACTTGAGCGACGGCGAAGAAGTGTTCTCCTTCGTCTTCGAAGTGAAATACATCAGAACATCCTCTGTTGCAGTCATATCATCGTCATCGCACTAACAAGACAAGTAGCTATGAGACCTCAACCCATTGACGTTGTCATGTGACGGCCATGAGAACTTGAGACTTTCCTGCAGTAATGTATCAGTTGATTCATTCCCGCCATCATCATCGTCATCAACCAGGTATCTTGCCAAATACGCCTGAACTTCTTCAGTTGACATGCTGCGTATGAACTCGCAGGCAGCGTTCACGGAGCATTCAACTGAGCATGAGAGCGAGCAGATGGAGCAAACAGCGTCTGTGCTGCAGAAGCCTTCATTCGATCCTCCTGCTTCATTGTTCACCAACCTATTTCCCCTCCTCCTCCTGCTCCTGCTCCTCCTCACCCACCCCGCCTCCTCCGCCCACTCTGCTCCATCTGCTGCTTCTTCCTCCATTGCTTTCCTCAAAATTTGCGCTACTTTTTCGCGCCCCTATTTATTCTCTGTCCTATCCCTCCCTCCCTCCCTCCCTCCTCCCTTCATCTTCTATTTCAACCTCATTTCTCTGTGCTCTACTCCTCCTCCGCCTCCTCCTTCTCCTCCTCGCTTCCTCCTCCTCCTCCCCCTTCCCTTTCTCCCCCGCGTACCCGGTAGATAGCTGGTACATCCTCCCCAGATCAGCCTGGGGTCTTCCTGGTACCGATCGCTATCCGAGCATGCCAGCACGGGGAGGGCAGGAGCGCTTCCTGCGTCTCGTACCGCATCGCTCAGCTCCACGAACGATTCTGATCCAGCATGGTCCAGCAGCACGAAGACAGCGGGCTGTGCGTCAGAGGCGGAGAGGAGGGAGAAGATGTCGGAGACTGCGGGGGAGGGAGAGGTAAGAGAAGGACAGCAAGTTTGAAGATTTTTGACCTGCTGTCATCGGCTGACTGATCCTTGACAAGACAACGAAACTTTCTTGACAAGAATTTGTATGGTTGGACCTGTTTGCAGACTTCAGTCATGTGCTCTCGCTCTGTTTGTCACTGGTACATCTGTCTGCACGGGAGGGAGAACGTGTTGATGTTGATCACGCCGGGTAACGAGATGTTTTGAAACTCCCTGACTCAAAATTACTCACTCTGATAAACTTGAAGAAATCACCTGAAACGTTCTTGTTGAGAATTCCATTCCCAGATCTCAACATGTGTACTCCAAGCGGGATATTTGAAACTGACAATGGGAGGCGAGAGAAGAAGAAGGAGAAAACGAAGAGCGGAGAGGAGAGGGGAGGAGCGGTGTGGAGAGGAGAGGGAAGGAGAGGAGAGGAGAGGAGAGGGAAGGAGAGGAGAGGAGAGGAGAGGAGAGGAGAGGAGAGGAGAGGAGAGGAGAGGAGAGGAGAGGAGATATAAGCTCAGAAAAGTTTCAGCAGCAACGAGTCACCTCGAGCAGTCGATGTCCGAGCACTCAGCGTTGCTTCCTCCGTCTCCTGCCAGCACAAGGAAATGTCGAGACTCGTTGACCTGCAGATGAGCTACGGAGAGCGCGCGGAGAGAAGAGAGAGGCTGGAGGACAACGAAACCCACTCCTTGCTCCCAGCTGTAGACAACGCTGCTGGGAATCAGCTGAGAATTGCTTGTGAAAGCGACGGCGAGGAGGAGTCGAGGGCCGAGCAGGAAGGAAGAGGAAGAGCGGGAGAAGGAGGAGGGACCGCCCAGGCTTTGATGGTGATGAAAGCGACTCGTGCTGACGTTCCATGTGTAGACATTGACTGCCGACATGTTTTGGTTGCTCAACCAGTTTGAAACAACAACAATCGTCTCTCCTGTCATTGCTTGTCACCCATTACTCTTATCTTGTTCCCTTGCTCACCGTTGGTCTTTGCGACGCTCATGTAGACAGCATTTGCGTCTTTCACCCCGTTCTTGTTGAGATATTGAAAGAACACAAACCTCTCCTGTTGTTTTTCGTTTCATTACCTTTGATCCTCCTCTCTCCTCCTCTCCCCTCCCCTCCCCTCCCCTCCTCTCCCCTCCTCTCCCCTCCTCTCCCCTCCTCTCCCCTCCTCTCCTCTCCTCTCTTCTCCCCTCCTCTCTCCTCCCCTCCTCTCCCCTGTGCTCGGCTCTCCTTCTCCCCCTCACCTGCTCTGCATTCCATCGCAATACTGACACTCCAGCCTCTCCACCAGCGACGAGGAGGAGGCGGTCGAGGCCGAGGAGGAGGAGCTCGGACGAGTAGGAAGCTGCCAGGTTTCCGCCGAAGATGCGGGAGGGAGAGAGGAGGCTGAAAGTGAAATCGAGAGCTCCTAGCACAAGCTCAGTGCGAGGGAGAGAAGTAGGAGAGAAGTGAGCTGTTCTCACCTGTAACAATGTCTGATGACTGCAATGCATTGAGGCCACGAGAAGAAATCTGCAAGAGAGGTCATAAGAAAATCATGATGACAACTGTGCAGAAAGTTTTACCTTGTTGTCATACTCCCACAATACTTTCTCTTCTTGTTGTATTGATCCGAGCTCAGTGAAGTTTCCTGTGAGGGAAGAAAGAACAACATGTTTATGATAGCACATTCGCGGACAACACTTCTGACCTGTCAGTGAATCCCTTCGGAGAACTGCAATGGAGCTGATCACAGGAGTCAGACCAGAGAAGGAGAATGATGAAGATATCAAGTTCTCACTTTGACAGCAAGGAGAACAGCAACATAATCTTCGAGTCTGCCGTCATCATCATCTTGCTTGCTCCCGCTATGATCGACGGGTAGAAAATTCCCCTGACACCGCAACTCACTTGTAACTTCACATGTCCCATTTCCACTCTCACATGTACTCAACCGAACCATTGATGATGTTCAAAGACAACATGTGAACGGCTCCAAACGTGTGACTCTTTCAAACACAAATGTAAGCAAGCGAAGAACAACCGGCAACGAGCAACCGAGTCTGACGACCTTGCTGACCTTCTGCTATCCAGCACATACAAACATCTCATTGTGCTGCTGCTTCCTCTGCATCCCTCTCCCTCTCCACTTATCGACATCTGCTCCGCGCCTCGTTCCCCCCCTGCTCCTCCTCCTCCTGATCCGAAGGCAGGGATGCACTGACTGTCTGGGGAAGGCTGGAAACTTGAGTAAGGAATAGCTATGAGAAAGGGAGGGGAGAGGAGGGGAAAGAAGAGGAGGAGAGGAGAGGAAAACAGATGAATCTGAGAAGAGGAGGAGAGGGGAGAAGATTAAGATTTGCAGCAAACTCGATTACCTTGATGACTCCAGTGTCATTGCAAACGTCAAAAACACTGCAATCATGAATGAGAGAATTGCCAATGATGATAATCCTCCTTCTCGTTGTCCTCCATCCATACCATCATCATCATCATCATCATCATCATCATCATCATCATCATCTCCATCATCATCATCTCCATCATCATCGTCATCTCCATCATCATCGTCATCTCCATCATCGTAATTGTTATCATTATCATTATCCACGTCATCATTATCATCATCACAAAATCGCAAAGATCGCCATCAACCACTTTCTCCTCCTTCTACATCTCACGTTAGAGTGCTATAGTGATAGGAAAGGACGACAATTCTGGTAGGAATCGTTTCGTTGCCCTGCTGTAAAACCAGAGCAGAAGGAGCGGCAAGACAGGAGACCCGCTGGAGCTGCGGGAGCAGAAGTCGAATTTCACTCCACTGAGAGACGTTTGTGCTGCAGGTGAACAACATGTCAGGAAATAGGCGAAGAAGCGAGGAGGAGGAAGAGGAGGAGAGGGACGAGGGGCAACAAAGACAGTGAGGGAAAAAGGAAGGGAAAGAGAGGGAGAGGGAGGGAGGGAGGGAGGGAGAGAGAGCGAGAGAGAGAGCGAGAGAGAGAGCGAGAGAGAGGAGGAGGTGTGGTGGCGGTGGTGGTGGTGACCGGGATCCTTCTTCTTGGGACGAGGAACTGAAACAAGACGAATCAGTCAAGAAATACAGCGAGGAGGCTCAAGACAACAAGAACAACAGCCGAGCGAGCAAGTGACGAAGTAGGAACAAGATGGAACCAACACATACAAGCACACAGACACGCAACAAGACAAAACTCTACAAGTTGAAACCGTTCGAAGTGAGAATCTAGAGATCTGTTTGTTCGTCTCACCTCGGAGATCTTGAAGTCTGAAAGTCGAAGGATGCGACAAGTTGTTGATTATGTTGTCTTGTGACTGATACAATCTTAGAGGCTGCGGACAGCTCTTGTCCTCCAGATGTTTGTTTGAGCGAGTCCTTCTCATTTGCAAGGTCTTGGAACTGAAATCCATTCCATCTGACAAGAAAAGACGTCAAAGACAATCAGAGGTCCATCAGACTTGAGAACTTGAAGCTTGATTGAATCATTCTCGCCCCTCCCTCTCTTCTCTCTTTTGTTTCTCCTCCTCCTCCTCCTCTCCTCTCCTCCTTCTCTCCCCCTCTCTCTTCTCCTTCTCTCTTCCCCTCCTTCACCTGTAAAGTTTCGAGCATTTTCCGCTGATACTAAACAAGCTTGTCGAGCAGTTGGACTGCATGGCGACGGCAAGGAAAGGAACCGAGAGCATGTCGACAAGCTGAACGTCTGAGACAGAAACGCCACCCAGCTGTTGGAAGACAGTGAAAGTCTGCAAGCTTTCATCCCATTGATAGAGAGTCAGGCCTCTAGTCTCTTCGAAGAATGTCAAGAAATGACGATCGATCATGTCATGAAGGATGAAATGAGCTACTCCATTGCTCGAAGACGTTGAGAACGTTTGTAGTGATGTAAGTGATATGCCTTGGTTTTCCCTTAACATCTACACCACATGTCAATCCTTGTGCTGTCGTCTTTGAGAGCAGATCGAACAACCTTCATCTCGAACAATGTTGACTCCACTTCGGTTGACAGGCTTGAGAAACTGTACAAGACAGAGACTGCAAACATGCACTTTCCTTGTATCTCAAATCCCTGTATCCCTGAGATTGCTTTTTGTTCAAAGACCTTGGCAAGTATTGAGATGTCAGTGTATAAGATGAGAAGGACATGTAAGTACCATCTCATGTAGCTCAACCAACTCCAACACATCAGGTTGTGTCTCATTCATCAGGAAAAACTTCACTGATCCATTGACCATCGCAAGAGCAACAATCTGTGATGTAGCATTCCCTTCCATGATTGTACATGATGACCACTGTCGAGCGTTTGAAGACGAGACTTTCTGAACAACTTGTATGGTCACGTCCTCTGAACCATGAGAGATGCGGTAGACTAGCGATCTTGTGTCGACCAAACCTTGCAGGCATGTCAGGACCTCAAGCTTGTCAAAGTAATGCTTACCATCAAGACGGTTGTCTGCGACAGCAACAAACAGATACGAGAACGCCGGCCTGCAATCAAAGTAAGAAAAGAGAAGTTGGGATAGTTCTTGGTGATTGTGCTGATGTAAGTCACCTGGCAATTTCTAACGCTGAGATGTATGGAAGGTCAAGAGGGAGAGGAGTTCGTTTGAAGTTCTACAGCAATATCATTATCATAAGCATGTAGTCGTAGAATTTGAAAGTTCAATCTTCTTACCCGCTCATCAACTTTGCTCATGATGTAAGACTGCGTCTTGAACACAAACTTTGCGGGGATTCCTGAGAGAGCGTCAATCTTTGAACTGTCACAATCAGACGCATCAGACCGGACTGATACTCTTCTACACTCATAGCATTGGGATTCACAAGATAACTCATGAGATCAAACCCGCAATCCTTCCAGAAGCAAGATCGCTGGGCAAACAATGATCATAAGAAAAAGCTGCTGGAACGACATTCTCTTTCTTGTTACCTGCCAGAGTGGTTTCCATGGAGAAGTTAGAGCATCTCTATCGTTCACGTTACTTGAACCTCTTCAACTATTTCATCAACCCGACAAACCTGAGCTCAACTGATAGGAAGACGCTCTTGTAGCCATGGTGCCACATCGGAGACACGCAGACAAGCTTGTTCGAAGAGAAATGAGAGACCTCACTGTACGAGATAACCTTCTCTGTTCGAGAGAAGACGAACGAGAAGCGACATCTCAATGATGTTGTTCTGATACAAGTATGTCACCCTCAGCCGATCACCGTCATTGAAAACTCACTGGGTGAACTGAAATTGTCCAAGAACCACAATCTCTGCTCCTCCCTCCACAGATCCTGACAAGACGTTGGAGGAAGAGGAGGAGGAGGAGGAGGAGGAGGAGGAGGAGGAGGAGGAGGAGTTGGTGTCCAGCCTTGTCCAGTAGGAAGAGGAAGAGACAGGATGCGCAGTGAGATTGACGGAAGATGCTCCAGCGAGCTCAAGGAAGGAGGAGGAGATCTGCTGAGCCGAGAGGGGAGAGGAGAAAACTCGCAGCATTCTCATGCTCCCGACGTGGCTGAAGAATCTTCTAGAAGAAGAGTCGAAGAAGCTGCCGACGAGGAAGGGAACTGCAGGAGCAGCAGGGGGAGGATAGAGGAGAGGCACCAGCTTGTCGCAGCCTGCGATGAGTTGGATCAGTGAGGAGAAGACGAGAAGATGCAGATGTGGATGCATGTTGAGATGTACATGAAGATGTGGATGTGGGTTGAGTTGTTGTTGTTGTTGATGATGATGATGTAGAATAAGAATTCACAAGGAAGAGAATGTTCACCTTGCGATCTGCAATCTCTCTCAACCCGCTCCTTGCCATTAACATACATTTTCAAACTGCAGCAAACGAGTCAGAGAAATCAGATGATACCATCTCCTTTCCACCTCGTGCCGTTGAATGTCGCTACTACATGAATCCATTCCTCTAGTTTGCAGAGAGAAGTTGGACAGTCAAAGATCAGCTGAGAACATTCTTGTTAGTTTATGCACAACTGCACACAAAAGCAACAAGACCTTAATAGGAGTCGATCGAGTTTGGATTGCAATATCAAAGAAGAATGAGATTTGAGGATTTCCTACTCATTTACCAGTTGTCAGTGTTGAAGGCAAATACAAGTCAACAGAGCACCAGTCTTGTCTGCTTCCACTGCGTATGACAACGTCCAACCGCTAAGACGAAGTTGTCAACAAAAAAAGACATTCATTTTCATCCTTTTACCTTGCTGGCGGTCCCTGCGACTGACAGCTGACAATTCCAGCATATGAAACTTGGCGTGTGTTGATTGTGATCCACTGCAAGCTCATGAGAATTACACCAGCAGCACGTTGTTGTTGCAACTCACAGTCTCGATAGAGAGGTTTGATCGTGGGAGAAAACCTTGCTGCGCAAGGCTCGCAACATCTCCTTTGGTTGCAAACCCGAAATGTTTTGCATCGTCAAACATGGCAACCTTGTTCTCTTGTCATGAAACTCGCATGAATCAGCAAACACGCACCTGCAACTCTCCGAAAGACATCATCGCGTTCAACAAGTTTGCAGATTCCGAGATGAAAGATGAAGAGGATGGATCGATAGCAAACAGATCGAAAGTCTTCCTCCGCTGAAACTGATTGCTTCCACTCCAATCTCGCTGATCAGCAAACACGTTCGGCTCCCAAGAGTTGTTGAATTTCGGCGGCAGGAGGGAGAGAAGTGAAAAGTCCCACCATGCTGCTGTCTCGTTCCAGAGAAGCTGTTTGAGCATAATCAGCAGAAGATGAAAAGTAGTCAAAAGATTGAGTCAAAGAGGAGGTGGAATTTTCAGGGAGAGTTAGGAAGAGTAGAAATCGCTAGAGATGGTGAGGGAGAGAGGGACGGAGGCAGAGGATTGAAGCAAGAGGGTGAGTAAAGCAGTGATGGGGAGAAAGAGACGATGATGAGGTGGGGTGAAGAAGAAATTGTACTGACCTCTGGTGGTGAAGTTCGAAGTTTTCTGCAAGCAGCAGCAGAGGACTTGAAAAGAATGTAAAACAACAAACGTACAATTCAAGAGAGGATTGAGATTACCTGGTCAACACATTGCGAAGTTGACGGGCGATCAAGGAGCAGGGCATATCGATCGTTAAGAAAGTCGATGTACAACGACATCTTCTCACAGCTGTGAAACAATATTTCAACAGAGAGAAAGAAGTTGAGAAAAGGCGATGAGAAAGGGAGTATACGACAGTGTGAGGAGAATGCCAAGATTGTTGATGGCAAATGAAGAAGAATCGAACTCAGGGATGAGAGAATGATGAGGAGAACAAAACAACAACACCAAAATTATTGACAACTTTCTATCATGAACAAAATAACAAGTTGGGGAAACACAAAGTTTCCAACTCACCCAGTAAGGGCGATGAAAGTTGTGTTGGAAGCATTTCCTTGCAAGACGGGGAGAGCGTCGCAAACTGAAGACATTACAAAGACTTCCCGACCTGTCGCCTGAACGTCTTCCTGGATACAACTTGATGCTCCGGTCAACCAGTAAGATACCAGCCGAATCCTTTGCTGCAAAGATACATCATAGTTGTTTCATCACATCTTACAATCATATCTTTCTCTCTTTCTATCCTCCAACTCCCTCGCTCTTCCCCCTTCCTCATGCCCTACCAATGACAGCGTTACCCTCTCCCTTTAGTCTTTCTTCAATCTCTCCCACTCTTCCTCCCCTTCATCGTCCTTTCTCTTTCTCCCTCCAGCACCTCATCATGTCGGAAACGATCGATGAAAGTCGTGGGATCGTGCGTATAACTGACGATCGAGTCTGACGAGAACTCGGCAGCGAACCAGAACTTGCGATCTTTGAACGTCTCAAACGCTGAGGTGAGAAATCAGAGACGAGGTGAGAAATGTCTGACGTGCTACCACTGGTGAATGTCAGCCGGTTGTCAATCAGCGCTCTATCCTCAGTTACATTCTCGAGGCGAAACGTTGTAGCGTCCTTCGTGAAAGTCACAAGAGCGAGAAGAGGAGAGAGAGCAGCAGCAGCAGCAGCGACGAAAGAACAAGAGGGGAAGGAAGGGAGTGAGTGGCGAAAAGGAGGAAACAGAAGAAGAGGGAGAGGGAGAGGGAGAGAGAGAGGTAGAGGTAGAGGTAGAGGTAGAGGGAGAGGAAGAGGAAGAGGAAGAGGTTACATTCTCAGGAATCAGGAAGGTAGTTCCAGCTTGAAGGTGGTTCTTCAGTGGACTGACTGCTGAAAGAAAACGATCCACTACCGTCTTGCCGTTTGACAGATAGACTGTCGCACTGTTGACAAACATATCATACAAGGAAAGAAAACACAACCCGACACAATACAACGGGGAAAAGAACTCCACAGCATCATCTCAATCGTTACCTTCCGATCAACTGCTCCTTTATCAGAACGCTCTCTGCCTTCTCCGAACAATCTCCGTTTGTCAAGTTCGACGGGCCCATGAACTGAGAGCAGGATGGAAAAATATCATACTCCAAGAACACCTTGAGGAATGATTTGCGCCATCCGCTCGCCGAGATTTCTTCCCATTCAAAGCTCTTTGCACACGATTACAACCTTGAGAACAAGAGGAAGATTGTCACCTCAATCTTGAAGGTCAGGACTGGAGATGTCGAAGAGCGGAACAAGGCAGAAGTAACATCAAACGAGGGAGCAAGAAACCAGCGTTGCTCCTGCTCCTCAAAGAACACCTTCATCTTCCCTCCCTCCTGCTCCCAGTACGCTACTCCCCCGTACTCCCCCCCGCTTCTCTTGTACGTCCCCCGTGCCCCCTCGAACTCGCCCACGTTCCCAAACGTACACGGAGCCGAGCACGAGACCTGGTAGACGCTAGACAGGCTTTCAGCCGATCCAAGAGGAGGACAGGAGCAGGGAGCTGACGGGTCGATGCAAGCCGCACGGTACGCCATCACAAACCCCGGCCTCTTCCCTCCCTCCTCTACCTTGATCTCCATCCTCCTTGGCTCCTCTCCCTGATTGCTCTGCAGCGTCACTCCCGACGACCCTGCCGCCCCCTCCCGCGCGGTGAAGTAGAGCATGCTCGTGCTCTGGCTCATGTCCAGCCATGGCGGGACGGCGAAGAGGAGCGGGTTGTCCCAGGTGAGGTAGTCGCCGACCTGAGCTGGAGTCTGCATCTGGCAGAGGAAGGAGAGGTTTCCAGCGGAGAGGCAGGGGAGCTGGGAGGCAGTGGAGGGGAAAGTGATCGATGCTGTGGTTGCAAGTTTGCACGGGATGCCGTCAGAGGAGTTTGACCATGAGCATACGTCGAGCTGATTCGAGCATGTTGTACTGTTACATGCTTGACTGCCTGTCGGACATGTTGCTTGGCCATCGCTGACAGCAGCGACTATGAGAAAAAAGAAGAGCAGAACCTCAGTACAAATCATCGTGTCTGAGTTCAGAGCCATGATGATTGTGAGCTTCTCTTTTCCCGTCAATCTCCAGTCGGTTTTGTTGACAGCTCCTTCATCTGATTGAGCATGTTTCAGTAATTGGCTTTGTTTTCTGCAAACCTATCTTCTGACATTGAACCCATCGTATTCCTACTCGAAGCACCTCCATATCTCACCCAACAGTCTAAAGCTACCCGAGTTCTCTCCTTCCACTATTGTCCTGTACTACTCGGTTCTGTTCAGCTCGTTCCTGTACCATCATTCCTGTGCTGCTCATTCCTGGCTTGTCCTTCCCTTTCCTACGAGCTCCTTCACTACCACTCGATGCTTCATCGCATTTTGACAAGTCACCCTCGTCCCCACACAGACTCTTTGTACCCCACCACTAAAACTCGTGTCAGAATCTCCATGCACCCCCAAAGTTGTTTAAAACTACCGGGTCCTTTATGCATACACAAGTACCCCTAGAAGATTACTACCCCATTCTTTCTATCGAGTCCTCCTCAGTCATGTACCCACCTTCCCTTTATCTCAAGGTACCCCATTTTCACTAGTATTTAGTAGGGGTAGTCAACCACTTTGAATCATGTGAGGTTGTGGTGGGTCCTGCGGCTTTTCGGATGGATAGGCGGGTCATTACCAGATATATTAGTCAAGTACTTAATATTTATAGTCAACTAGTATATTTCCAAATAGAGTGAAAATAAAATATGATGAATGAGGGGGGTGGGTGGTAGGAGTGTTTCAGGGGTGAGGGTGATTAGCGGTCAATCGATGCCGAGTATGCTAAAATGCTGCCGGTAGGACGATCCAATGAAGTTTGAGTGCGTTGACATGATGATGTACGATGAAGACTTCTGGTGTTGATATCACGAAGATAAACTGCGTTGCTATCATGATATACGATGAAGACATCTTCGTGAGACATGTTGACTCATCAAGTGATTGTTTCTTGTTGAAACCATGCGATCACGATCTTGATTTTGATTTCATCATTATGCTCTCTGATCTCAGTGCAGGATGAAGAATGTTGACGACATCATCGAACTGAGACAAGAAAGGCTGACAGTCTGACCCTCGTCAAGGGTGCGTCCCTACACTCTGACCCTTGTCAAGGGTGTGTACCTACAGTTCGACCCTTGTCGAGGGTGTATACCTACCGATGTCAGGCACTTACACTGCGTCTGTCTTGCTCCTGCTTGTATGGCTGCAGGTCTCAGTATGCGATGCACAGACATGCGACATCAGTTCTACGACATGTCCCTGTAACACAACAACCACAGCATCGATCTCCTCCTCCACTGCCTCCCAGCTCCCCTGCCTCTCCGCTGGAAACCTCTCCTTCCTCTGCCAGATGCAGACTCCAGCTCAGGTCGGCGACTACCTCACCTGGGACAACCCGCTCCTCTTCGCCGTCCCGCCATGGCTGGACATGAGCCAGAGCACGAGCATGCTCTACTTCACCGCGCGGGAGGGGGCGGCAGGGTCGTCGGGAGTGACGCTGCAGAGCAGTCAGGGAGAGGAGCGAGGGAGGATGGAGATCAAGGTGGAGGAGGGAGGGAAGAGGCCGGGGTTTGTGATGGCGTACCGTGCGGCTTGCATCGACCCGTCAGCTCCCTGCTCCTGTCCTCCCCTCAGCATCCCCAAGATGTTTCCCTGGCTCTACAAGGTGGACTGCCGTCGGCCGTGTACGTTTGGGAACGTGAGCGAGTTCGAGGGGGCACGGGGGACGTACAAGAGGAGCGGGGGGGAGTACGGGGGAGTAGCGTACTGGGAGCAGGAGGGAGGGAGGATGAAGGTGTTCTTTGAGGAGCAGGAGCAGCGCTGGTACATCTCAAGGAGCCTTGACGTGAAGGATGCGCTTTACAGAACTCTCGCTGGTAGTGTGATGTCTCTGCCCGACGAGGTAGAGTGATACTTGTTGGTTTCTTTGAAGTTTGATTCCTTCACAGCTGACTGTGAGATGGGAGGAAAAGATGAACAACTCGTGGAGTTTTTGTTTCCTCTCAGTTCAAGACATCACGGCTGGGTTTCAAACGTGCTCTCAGAACATGGAGTTGTCGCCGTCCAATGTGATTGCACCATCGACGGACTTGTACTCTTGCAATCTCAACAACATGAGCAGGTTGGTTTCAGAAGTGATTGTGCTCATTACTAATCTGCATTTTCTTTCAGTGTTGTCTTTCTGCGAGATGTTTCATATCACACTGTCGACAAATTTGTCACTGCATTCACACCAGTGGAAGGATACTGGCATGGCAGCATATCAACAGTCAACATCACCATGGTATCCTCTGACAAAGAGTCTTTTCTGTTCTGATTCATCGCAGGACCAAGATGCTAAGCTTTCGAGTGTCAAGAAAGATCCCATCTACGACAAATGGGGACTGGAGTTTGCCTCTGGTAGGAGACACTTGTGTCTTTGTTGTCTGCCATGACAACCTTGGAAACAGATTACGTGACAAGTCCCGACGGTCAGTTCGTGTATGTTGAGGAGTTTGCTTCGGACTCCATCGCTGTCATCAAGAATGGAAGTTTCGTCGACCGGCTGCGCCAGGGGCAGGTGAGGCTCTTGACAACCACCTCTCTCCTCCTCCTCATATCTTGTCTCATCCCACTGCACGCTGTTCCCGCCCCTGCTCTGCTCTGCTCATTTCAGTTGCTTCTCTCGCAACGATCCGTCTACATTCTCTGCTCTCTGCTCTGCTCTGCTCTGCTCTGCTCTGCTCTCTGCTCTGCTCTGCTTTCCTATCCTTTCCTCTTATTTTCTCTCCTCTGCTCTCCTCTGTTCTCCTATGCCCCTCCTCTGCTCTGCTCTGCTCTGCTCTCCTCTTCTATCTCTCCTCTCCTCTCCTCTCCTCTCGTACAGTGTCTCGGTTCCCTCCTGAGCACGTTATAATCTCTCTTCTATCCCTCCTCTCCCTTGTGCTCATACTTATCCTCCAACCGCCAGTACCGCATGCAGTTTCAGGCAGGGCAGCAAGTCGACCCCTGCGCGTCTGCGAACCCGAACGTGGGGTCAGGAAACATCGAGGTCGAGGGGATATGCAGCACAACCAAGTTTGTGACAAAGAGCGGGACATCCTATCTTCTTGTCAACTCGGGGTGAGGACGCTTCTTGGACGTTATCGACACCTTGACCGTTGAGTTTTTCAGCTGCAAGAGATTACAAGAGTACACCTCCTTCATCAACACATCTCAATCGCTTCTTCTTGACAAGCCTTCCTCGTTTCCTTGTATCGACCAAGTATCGTTCTTCTCTCCCCCTTTCTCTCACCTGCTCATGCTGCATTGCTCAGAACTCCCAGCAAGGTTGCTTGCAAGCTCAACAGATCCAACCGCAGGTCTTGCCAAAGAACTTGTGCCCTCAACTCTGACCTGTCAACAGTTTTTGTGGAACGTCACGACCGGGTGGTGGGATTTCTCCTACGAGTACGCAGGGGGAAGTTATTCTCGCAGTGCGAGGTGAAACAACTATGATCGCACTCATCGTGTTTGATTTGCTTCTCTTTCTCTTACCTATCATTTCATCTGCTTTCTGTCCCATCACATCCTCTTGTGCTGTGCTGTGCTGTGCTGTGCTGTGCTGTGCTGTGCTGTGCTGTCCTCTCATCTCCTCTCATCTCCTCTCATCTTCTCGCATCCCCTGCAAGCTTGAAGTCGAGCATGTTTTATGTCTGTCGCTCTTGTCATTCTCTTTCAACAGTCATCCCATCGGTCTCATGTGTCTGTTGGTAGGCAAGAGCCCAACGTGTGCGAGGAGCAGCACGATCTCAAGATCGCCCCCTCCTCCTTCCTCAACCTCAAGAAATTCTTCGCACGAGGTCCCCAGCGATGGTCCTCGTCCGCCACCCTCCAGGGCCCCGTGTGTCGAGATGGAGTCTGGGACAGGACAGAGGACAAGACTTTCTCTGTTCTCAACAACCTCGTCTCTTTCGGGGAACTGAGTGTAAGTTGAGAGATTATGATGACGATGAAGAGGAAGATGATGATGATGATGATGATGATGGATGATGATGATGATGATGATGATGATGATGATGATGATGGAGATGATGATGATGGAGGTGATGATGATGGAGGTGATGACGACGACGACGACTATGATGATGATGATGATGACGATGACGATGAAGACGATGATGAAGACGATGATGATGACGATGATGGAGATGATGATGATGATGATGATGGCGCAGTGACATGTGTTGTAACGATTGTTGTCAAGGCAATGTGGTTCGACCCTCTGATCAACACAGGGTTGTTCGTCTCCAACGATGTCCAGACTCTTTTGCAGTCCAGCGAGCTGCCGACGTCGATGATCTCGCTAGAGTCGGTGAAGCAACTGATCCAAAATCAGCCATCGTGTCATTGACTTTGTTACGTTTGTTCTGCTAGTGGATTGTTATCTCAACAACAGCCAACATTCCTCTCGCTGGCATTTTCTCTGCACAATCAGAAGCTGACAAGTTCAGGTAAGTCGTGACGTTCGTGTTTCTTCTTCTTCTCATACACACAAACAGCGGTTGGTATTTGAGCTACTCTGTCGGGTTTTCAGGTATAGAGATTGACAACTGAAGGGGTCAAATGCTCAAAATTTCTTTTCCCTCAGGCTCTTCACACCCGATCGTAACTTTCACATTCAAGATCGCATTTGAGCAGTTCCCGTTTATGAAAGAGGTTCACTTCCTGTCTTGTCCTGTCCTTCGTCTCCTCTTCTTCTCTCTCTTGCCCTCTCCCCCCTCTGCTCTGCTCTGCTCTGCTCTGCTCTGCTCTGCTCTGCTCTGCTCTGCTCTGCTCTGCACTGCACTGCTCTGCTCTGCTCTGCTCTGCTCTGCTCTGCTCTTCTCTTCTCTGTTTCTCTTATTCGTTCTCCTCAGATTCGCATACAATGTGACTCCTCCACCTGCCCTCTCCGTCAATGGACACACATCATAGCAACTTATGACGGCAAACGGTTCCTAACAACAACTGACTGAAACCCTTCTTCCTCCTTCCTCGCTTCTTCCACTTTCTCTCGCCCTGTCCTGTTCTGTCCTGTCCTGTCTTTTCGTTACTGTGCTCTCCTCCTTCCTTCCGTATATCCTTGTCTATTCTGCTCCTCGTCCTCGTCCTCCTGCTCCTCGTCCCCCTCGTCTTCCTCCTCCTCGTCTTCGTTCTCCTCGTCCTCCTCCTTACCCGTTGATTCTTTTCTTACAGCGTCAGCCTCTATCTCAATGGCAAACAATCTTCATCTATTGATGCATGTCAGTCAATGCTTTCACCTTGTCTCCTCTATCCTCTACCTTGCCTCCTCCTTGTCGTCCTCCTTATCCTCCTCCCCCATCCTGCGGCTCTTCCTCCTTCTCCCTCTTTCTGGCTCTTACTACATCGTCTCTCGTTCCTGCTATACTTTTCTCCTCTCCTCCTCCTGGTCTTGCTCCTTCCTCTGTCCCTCATCCTCTTTCAGGCGACTTTTCCTCCTGCGGCAGGATTGTGTATCCGAGCACTGGCGCTCGTCCTACCCCCCTCGTCCTCGGCTCCTTCTTTCATCCTCTCACCCTCCGCTCCTACCCGCACGCCGGGGCGATGCGCATGGCGCGACTCTACGAGCATGCTCTGAGCGCGGAGGAGGTGCAGGGGAGATACGAGGAGGGGAAAGTCAGCGGAGGAGCGGGAGGAGGAGGAGCAACAGGAGGAGGAGGAGAGACAGCATCAAGCTCGTCCTTCGAGTCAGGATGCAGTTGGACAAGTTTCGAGGAGGATGAGAGGGGACGTGAAAGCCAAGCGAAGCATCAGGGTGAAGGGGAACTTCGCTTGCAGGTCCACTGACGTTGATACATCTGTGTTTCTTGTGTATGATGGAATATGCAAACATGATGGTTGATTTGAGACTTGAGACGTCTGATGGGTACATGAAGACATTTCTCTATTCAGCATTTCTTGTTCTTGTCCTCCTATTTTTAATGTCTTGTTGCCTGTGTTTGAAAACAATCGCTGATCGATTTTCCAACAACAGCTTCACAGATTTCAGATGTCGATTCTCGTACGATTACAGCAAGACAGAGAGGATTGTGGAATATTCACCAGCAACAGTTACCAACAACCTTCTGACCTGTAACGCGCCAACATGGCATCACAGTCAAACATGGACTCATTTCTCCATTCAAGCTGCAAACTTTCAGATTGCAAACAGGTAACTACGCTAAGATCACATCACAGCATTGTTTTCACAACATATCCATACATCAAGCAAATGATTTCTTGCAGCATCTCTTATCAAATCCTTTTGACGTGTTAAGTTCTACCATTAACTTGTTCTTCAGAACTCTGTCAGCATCTTTCCGCGAGAACTTTCCCTATCTCATTGGAACCAAAGTCTCGGTCAGTCTTTACTTTGCCATTACATCTCAATATGACCTTGTCAAACAGATTGACTCTGACGCTGTGAACTCACCGCGAAGATGTTTCTTGGTGTGCTGACAACACTGCAGGAAGGCAACGCGCAAAGGTTTGGAGAGATTTTAAGTTACAACGCTATCGACGGGATTTACACCATCAAGATTATTGACAGTCTGTCCATAACAACGTCTCTCTGTAAGTTTTCACTTGAACTTGAAGCATTCCCGCATTCATCATAGTCGATTTCGTCTTTCACATTGCGGTCTTGTTTCTTTTCCACATTGCATCATAGTGACTTCCGTTTGCATTGCAAGCAAAACAATAACTTGTTTTCAAATCATAATTTCATCACACTGACATGTTTTCATGATGCTGAAAGATTGACTTGTTTTCATATCATAATCTCATGTTTGTACTCCAGTTACTTCGCTTCCAAACCCGCACATCTACCCGCTGTCAGACGTCGCCGTTTCAAAGTTCATCGGATATGAGCCCACGTGGCTTCCCGTTTGGCAGGTGATGATCATGACGATGATGACGATGACGATGACGATGATGATGATGATGACGATGATGATGATGACGACGATGATGTTTTTGATGATGATTATGGTGGTGGTGGTGGTGGTGGTGATGATGATGATCATTTTACTTCTTTTTTTCTACTTCTCCTTCGTTTTCTGCTGTGATGATGGTCATGAGGAGGAGAAAGGGGAGGGTCATGAGGAGGAGAAAGGGGAGGAGGAGGAGGAGGAGAAAGGGGAGGAGGAGGAGGAGGAGGAGGAGGAGGAGGAGGAGGAGAACGATCATGATTCGTTTGGCTCCTTCCTAACAACAAAACTTGCAGCAAGCTGATTTTGCAGCTTATACAACTGACGCGACACTTCCCCCTTATCAGGGTATAAGAACATTCGATACATCATAGCAAGTAACTCTCTGTTCGCAAGGCATTCCAGCTAGATTTGTTTTCACAACTTCGTCTCCCATTCTCATGAGGGACCCAAATGTAACAAGAGATTGGAGGTCGTACCTCGTTGATGATGGTATGTGAAGGATGAGAAACGAGTTACATCGTCGACTATTTCTCTTGAAGGACAGAGCATATCATCTTCTATCTTTGTGAGCAGGTGAAGGCATTACCATTACATGATGACGACTTGACATGTTGTTGGCAGAGACTCGGGTGATTACCTTCTGGTTGCAAGCTCAGGAAACAATGACGGTTAATCCACCTTGTTGTTTTTGTTGCAAACTGATGCAGAAGGAATGCTCAGAGCAAGACATGTCAAAAGTCTTTTTGGTGCAAGACACAGTATCATCGACGATCAGCTTGTCATGGAGACAGAATATCACATCTCGAGGAGATCGCGCTTGGACAAGCCTGAAGCTGAATAGCTCATCATCATCATCATCATCATCATCATCATCATCATCATCATCATCATCATCATCATCGTTCCTAGCTCTTGCCAGCATGGAAGGAAACATCAGAATATTTCGATGGATGAACGTGTCAGAACTGAGTCCAACCACCAACATTATCAATTCCAGCTTCTCAAACCTTACATCTGAGATCCTGGTGCAAGTCGACGAGGTCGAATGATTGTAAGCTTTCCTTCATCCCCTCATCATTCAGCAGGTCATGAATACAACATCATCGTCCGACGTCACAAGCTTCACAATCGGTAGTCAGTCCTTCATGGCGGTTTGTACTTTCTTTGACAGCAAGATTATGTCGCGCAATGTCACGTCAAAGATCTTTGAAGTCAAGGTAAGAACTCATCTGAATAACACATATTTGACCCATGTCAACAGATGTCGGACAACGCATTTACGGACGTGATGTCTTTCAACCCCTCCCAAACTTTCCCGACTGTCGGATGCAGGAAGATCGTATATCACCAGATGACGACAGGCGATATGGAGATGAACTTTCTTGCGTTTCTCGACGACGAGGAGAAGATAATCTTGTACAAGTGGGACGAGAGTCTTTCTCAGTTCGTGTCATTCCAACAGTTTGACACAAGATCGTCAACAAACATGTTGACTTTCTTCTCCGTCGCCTCTTCCCTGAACAATCATTACCTACTTGTCTCTGGAGCAATGCAATGCACAACTCAACTGTCGGATCTACGAGGAAACTGCTCCATGATGTACATGTAAGACATCCTCTTTGCACTACCGGTTCCCCCTCCTTCCCCCCTTCCTCTGCTCTGCTCTGCTCTGCTCTGCTCTGCTCTGCTCTGCTCTGCTCTGCTCTGCTCTGCTCTGCTCTGCTCTGCTCTCTCCTCTCCTTCTGTCCATGATACCCCGTCTCCCTCTCTACTTCTGCTGCATCCTTGCCCAACTTTCAACATTATCACCTCACCTTTCTTTGACTTCCTCCCCTCACAATAGCTGGAACGGATCCTTGTTCGTTGGTTTCCCGTCGATCGACTGGCGTCTGTCGCAGTCAGGAGGACAAGAACTACCATCTGCAAACGCGCATGTTGTCTTTGAAGATGAGAACAAACCGTCAGCTCCAACGGTTCTGCTCAGTTATTTCATCACTCCAGACTTTCTGAGGTAGAAGTTGCAGTTTGATGTTGTTGGACTCATCTGAATGTGCTCAGGACACCTTTCGAGGAGATAGGACCGAGGTCTGTGATGAGATGAGATGAGATGAGATGAGATGAGATGAGATGAGATGAGATCTGATGAGATCTGATGAGATCTGATGTGATACTGTTTATGTGATATGATTTTTTCTGTGATATATATTGTAATGATCCTTTGTAATGATCCTTTGTATTTCCTGATGTTCATGAGCATTGCGTCATTTTTCCTGTTTCTATTCTTTCTCTAGCTCGTCTGATGGAAGTCATTTATTATCAGATCTTCAATCTCTCGCAATACAAACTTGACTCAGTTCTTCTCCTTCACTTTCAACCTGACACATCTTGGCGCTCCTTCATCGTTGATCTACCAACAAGAGCTTCCTATCAGTGACTTGACAACTCGCTCCCGCATCCTCGTGTTGTCCCATTACTTCCAGAAAATCTTGTGAATCATATTCGCTGGGAACTTTCAGAACCTCTGATCTTGACCTGCAGGGTCTTCGATCGCTGCCGCACGACAGGAAAACTTGTAAGCTCTACACTTCTATCATCCAAGAGATGATTTCTTCTTCAGATCCCGAATCAAGTCAACTCTGCTGTCGATGCCAACGGCGGCGATCAGAATGTCTGTGGAGCTTTCTCGATGATTCTGAGAGCAGACGTGGATGGTTGTACGGGAAATTCAAACCAGACATTCTGTCTCTATGTCTTGCACACGGGCTGCTCGAATGTGAGAAACAGAATGTGTTTTTGTAGTTGATTCAAATGATGTGTGTCAGGGTCAAATCACATCTGGAATCCTTTCTTTCGATCTCAACGTCACGTCAGGGCTGTTGACATTCATGTCAGTTGATGACATATTGGTTGTCGAAATATGATGATTCTCTTGTTCAACAGAAAGAAAAACACTGCGAGTACTTTAGATGGGATGAGTGTGTTCCGTTTCTCTTCACTTGCATCGCATGCTTATGCTGCGAGCTTGACATACGGGTAACATCCTCCTCCTCCTCCTCCTCATCATCATCATCATCATCATCAGCAGCAGCAGAATCAGCATTTTTACTCCTCCTTCTCTTTCTTCTCTTTCTTATTATCCTTCTCTTCTTCCTCCTTAACTTGCTTCTTCCCCCCTCCTCCCCATCCTCCTCCTCCTCCTCCTGCTTCTTAACCTCTTGCTCTTTCTGCTTCTTCGTCTCCTTTCCCTCCTTTTTCTGCTTCTTCTGCTTCTCCATTCTGCTTCTACTTCTTGTTACGTTTCTTCTTCTCCTGACAAAAATTTCTCAGAGGACTGTCAGTCCTGCGATATTATGAAGAAGCAGGTGCAACACACTTTGTATATCAAACATCTACAGTCATTAACACTTCCATTACAAGAAAACTTGGAGATCGTCGAATTTCTCACATCACAAGCAAAAATACCATGGGAGTTCTCAAGATCAGTAATCTTTCTCATTGTCATACAGCAACATGTAACAAAATTTCAGCTGCCTTTGCGAAGATTTTCGAAACCATACACGCCTACGGCACAGTCAGGTGCTGATATTTGAACAACCTTGACAAGTCTAAACAGCAAATCAGATGTCATCAATCACAACTTTTCCACAACCATTGCGTCAAGAGTCTTTGGCAATTATGACATTTCAGTCTATCAAACAGCATTTTTTACGTCTCAGTCAAACAGTTTCGTCATAGTTGCAGCAGGAAGCTCGGGCGTATTCCTCCTCCAATGGGACGAGCTGAATGTGAATTTTGAAGATGATTGCAATGATAAAACTTCTGAAACCATTGTGCAGGAGAAGTTTGTTTTCTTGCAATCATTGGTGAAATCCGACGGAAAGAAAGACTCGAATGCTGTTTCATTGACCATTTGCAATATCACTGGTAATGTTTTTGTACAAACGAAGCAGCAGCAGCAGCAGCAGCAGCAGCAGCTTATCTTGATGATGATGAGGATGATGAGGGTGTGGAAGAGGATGATGATGATGAGGAGGAGGTCGAGGATGATGATGTGGAAGAAATTGAGGATGAGGATGATGATAAGGATGATGATGAGGATGATGATGATGATGATGATGATAATGCAATAGTCTACCTCTGCGTTTAGTTGACAATGATGGTAGCTTGGGATTGACCTTCAAATTTACTGATCAAACATTCGACCACAGGCGACATCTTCGTGGTTGTTCTCAATTACGTCTCGGATGCTGAATGGACAGGGATCAACGTCTATCACTTCGATCCAGCAGAAAATCATTTCACTTACCATCACACCTTACTATCCTCTCCTTCATGGTTTGTAATCGTTCCGTTCTTGTAACTTCTCCTGTCTCAATCTTTTCTTCCTCATCTCTACCCTTCCTCTACGTCCCCTTCTCCCCCTCTTCGTTTTCTTACCTCTCCTTACCATTTCTCTCTCTCTCTCTCTCTCTCTCTCTCTCTCTCTCTCTCTCTCTCGTATTGTTCTTATTTTCTTGCTTCTACCTGCCAGGTCTGGTTGGCCCTCCTACTCTCGTTCAGCTGCTTTCTTCACCATCGAGACGACCGGCAGTTTTCCTCTCCATCTGCTCGCCGTCGCTTACAATCAGGACACAACCAACAAGCTCTTTCCCAGCATTCTGTACAGGTGGAACACTAACACGTCAATGTTCGAGATCTACCAACAACAAGACCCATTTTACATTCCTGGAGCTTCTTCTGTCTTGCACACAAGAGTTGCGTCAGGAGCATACACCAAGGACTTGCTGATCTTTTCTAGTTTGTACAAATTTAGTGGAAGTTGTGCACCTGGGGTACAAGACATCGTGATTGAATGGTGATCAAGAAAACATCTTGACAACCAGTTGTGTTGACGGAGCTTGCAGTCAAGGGCAGAAGAAGGCTGAAACAACAACGTTGGTATATTGCTGGACTCCTGCGATGAACTTCACGTGACAAAATCTTGTCTGTTGCTGAGCCTCTTCCCTCACATCGCGACAGGTTGTGCGATGAGATTCAATCTCAGTCTGTCTCGAGTCTCGACACGTTCGAGTTGCCCTGCGCGGAATCTGATTGCGCCAGAAGATTCTTGTTGATCTCCGAGAGATACTCTGATCTCTCCCTGCTGTCGGGGATTTCTGGTAAGGACATTAACGTGCAAACAAACAGGAAAAGCAAAATGACAAATAGTAGGAAATAGGCAGGCAGGCAGGCAGGCAGGCAGGCAGGCAGGCAGGCAGGCAGGCAGGCAGGCAGGCAGGCAGACAGACAAAAGTCTTTGTTCTACTTCAATCTTCTGATCTCACTCCCAGGCTTCAACATCTCCAACAACCAACTGGTTGGCTTTCAACGGACTCCCAAACTTTATCTGTGGGATCAAAACCTCGAGAGATTCCGCCTCCTCCCAGCTGCTTTTGACCTTGTCAACGGGACTATCCCAGCTCCCCTCCCAGCTGATCCCTGCGTGAGCCTGACGAGCCAGACCGAATGGGGACCATGCACATCCTATGCACCCGGTCAGCTCAGCCTATCAGCTCCTCCCCCTCCTCCTCCTCCTCCCTTCTCCTCCTTCTCCCCCTCCTCCTCCTTGTCCTCCGCGTCCTCCTCATCCTTTTTTCCCGGTTTTTTCCTCCTCCTTCTCTTCCTGTTTCACTCCTCCTCACGTCCCTTTTCTTGCACAGGAGGCTTCAACGACGGTTTCTGTGTGCTCGACGGCGCCTGCGACGTCTGCCAGCTGTTCTGCCATGCTGCCTGCCAACAAGCCCCCGCAAACTCCGCGTGCCTCGAGTACCTGCAGCTGGGCTATACCGAGTTAGAAGAGCAGCTTGTGCGCTACGAGGTAGGGATGGGAGGAAGAGCGAGAGCGAGAGCGAGAGCGAGAGGAAGAGAATGGCGAGGGAGGAAAGGGAGAGAGGAAGAGAGGGAGAAATAGAGGAAGCGAGAGAGTGCAGGACGAAGTGAAAGGAGGACGAGGAGGAGGAAGAGGTAGCAGGAACGAGAGAAGGAGGCGGAAGAGGAGAAGAAGGGACGAGCGACACGGTCTGTTTCTGTCCTGACACCTTTTTAACAGAGGATGATGGCAAGGACTTGGCCGTCAGCTGAGGTCCTTGAGGGGATCAGGTCAGCTGGGAACTGGGAAAATGACCTCTCTAACGATGCCCAGTGCTCCCATGAGCTTCTTCCACTTCCAGCTGGAGGGAGAAGACTTCATAGTGGCCGCCCAGGTGAGCTGGAAAGGGACAGGAGAGGAGGTGGATGTGAGCTGGGGACACAGGGACTTTGCGGGGTCTACGAGGACGGGACAAAATGTTCCGATGCAAAGGTAAGGGAGGAGGAGCAAAAGCAGGAGCAGCAGCAGCAGCAGCAGCAGGAGCAGGAGCAGCAGGGAGATTCGGAGGAGGGGAGAATATGAGAGTAGGAGCAGGAGCAGGAGCAGGAGAAGGAGCAGGAGCAGGAGAAGGAGCAGGAGCAGGAGAAGGAGCAGGAGCAGGAGAAGGAGCAGGAAGAGGAAGAGGAAGAGGAGGAGGAGGTGGTGGTGATGGAGGTGCTGACTTTGGAGCAGTTCCAGCAGCCTGAGTCTGCTCTGCTGCAGTGGACCGGGGAAGATCCTGTAAAAGGTGAGGGGAAGAGGAGGAGGGGGAGAAGGATAGAGAGGGGGAAGGGAATGGTTGTCAGAATGTCAAGGTAGACAAGGATAAACGTCAAGAGGCAAAAGAAGTGGTGGAGATAGATGGAGGAGCAGGAGCAAGAGCAAGAGCAAGAGCAAGAGCAGGAGCAGGAGCAGGAGCAGGAGCAGGCCCATGAGGAGCAGGAGCAGGAGCAGGAGCAGGAGCAGGCTCTTCCCGGCCTCCTCACCGATGGATCTGATCGAGATGTCGCAGACGGCACTTTCAACGAGCAGTCAAACATGTTTGGAGAAGTTCTAGAGCTCACGCCTGGCTCGCCTCCTACTCGTTCATTCACCAAAAACAATCTGAAGGCTCGTTCGTTCGCCCTCCGCCTTCAAGCTGGTCCTGCCGCTTCCTCTCCCCTCCTCCTCCTCCTCCTCCTCCTCCAGTTCCTTCACTTCCTGACTTACTGAGAAACTCTCCTCGTTCCCTCATTTCCCTTCACTTCCTGACTTACTGAGAAACTCTCCTCGTTCCCTCATTTCCTTCACTTGCTCCTGCCTGATGTTCTCCTGTGCTACTGCTACTCGCATCCTCCTCCTCCTCCGCATCATCATCATCATCATCATCATCATCATCATCATCATCAACAACAACACAACATCATCATCATCATCATACAACATCATCATACAACAT